TATATATATAGACACATAACACATAATTTATATAAAAATACTTCATATCTATGTGTAGGATGAAAGTGACCATACACTCACCTGATAAGGAGTGATTCGGACAACACTTCGCTTCTTAAAATAATCTTCTTTGACGAAACCGGGAAGTTTTCTTGAAAACCGGGCTCCACGCGGGCAGAGTTTCAAACCGAAAAACTCTTTTCTCGCAGCCTTTGGGCGCTCTGCGGCTTTCTTCTAATGCTAGGGAGGTTTCCTAGTCTTCGGGATGGATTAGGCTGGCTAGAGAGAGAGAGTAGAGTGAGAAAGAGAAGGTGAATTTGTGAAGAAAAGAGGCTACCCTCGGTCCCCCTTTATAGGCCAAGATGCCTTGCTACTCTTAGCGTACTCGTGATGCGGTACCACACGCCTTCAATGATGGATGGGTCATCGTGGCTCAATGTGGATCGAGGAAAAAGTCAATCCGCGGGGCGTACCTCCTTCGTACACGGGGCGTACTTCTATACGCAGGGTGCCCGAAGGTACGCCGGGCATACCCCTCGCACCAAGTTCAAGATTTCCCACTCTGACTTCAAATTTTCGTAACTTTCGCATACGAGCTCCATTTTCAACGTTCTTTATGTCCATGCATAGGCAGGACCGTATTCTACAACTTTCATTTAGACTTCGCCAACTAATTCTCAACCGATTTTAAATTTATATTCTTTAACAGACCGAGGCAATAAAGCCTGTTAAAATTTCATAAGTTCTTCATCCGATGCCTGTTTTTGTCTGTCTTTTACCGTTGCGCTACTATTAACGAGATCTTAGATTCTCGTTTAGGTTGTGTCAGCCAAAAAGCGACCGATATATTATTTGAACTTCAGGATGTGCAATGTTGATTCGAAACTTTGAAAAATCATAACTTCCTCATACGAAGTCGGATTTGGGGCTTCTTTTTATGTACGCTCTCAGTTTAAAGAACACTATGACTTTCGTTTAGATCGTTGGGCCTAAAAAGTCCTCTATCGTAAATTCACTATTTACGTCACGCAGTGTCGCGCCGGTTTTGTCACGAAACTTCGACAGACCATAACTTCTTCGTTATAACTCATATTTCGTCTTTCTTTATCCCTCCAGAATCGTTGTCATGTCCACTACAACTTTCTTCATCGATATCGGGGTTTATCTAACATTTTATTTTTGACACTTATTTTTATCCTTTATTTATTATATTATTATAAACAAGTAACAAGCACACAAAAGCACATAATTCATATAATATCGAAGTAATTCATCTTTATTACTGTAAAATGAGTTACAATGGTTAACCTAGACTATTACATTGTCATTAATGCTTAGCTTGGAAACACGGGCATTACAATTCTCTCCCCCTTAGGATGATTCCATCCTTGGAATCATGCATTAGCAATCAAATGTTGATAGCAACTCATCATGTCACTCTCCGTTTCCCGTGTGAGATTTGGCCCATTCGACAATTTCCATCGCACAAGCACTAAGTCGACCATCTTACGTCGCAACTTCTTCATCTTATGGTCAAAAATCGCCTCAGGCTCTTTGATTAGCCTATTAATTCTCGTCCATCATTAATTCTGAAATTGGAATTATGTCGGGAACTTCTCCCGTGAACTTCCTCAAATAACACACATGGAATGTGTTATGAATACCCTCTAGTTCTTCTGGTAGTTCTAGCTTGTAAGCTTGGTTCCCAATCCTTCGAAGAACTTTGAACGATCCAATGAATATTGGACTTAACTTTCCTCTTTTTACAAATCTTATAAGTCCCTTCCACTGTGAGACTTTGAGCAAAACCAAATCCCCAACTTCGAATGACACCGATCGCCTCTTCTTTTCAGCATAGATCTTTTGACGATCTTGCGCTGCTAACATTCTTTCGCTAATTACTTTCAAGTTTTCAACAGTCTGATGGACTATCTTGGGGCCCATAAACTGCTTTTCTCCAGCTTAAAGCCAACAAGATGGCGTACGACACTTTTTCCCATACAAGGCTTGATAAGGTGCCATCTTGATGCTCGAATGGTAACTGTTGTTGTAGGAAAACTCTACCAGAGGTAAATGTTCACCCAGTTACCTTGAAATTCTAGGGTACATGCTCTCAGCATATCCTCAAGTGTTTGAATCGTTATTTCACTCTGACCATCGGTTTGCGGATGATAAGCTATACTTAAACACAATTTCGTAGCCAATTCCTCTTATAGCCTCCTCCAAAACCTTGACGTGAAACGACTATCACGATCTGATACAATCGTTATGAAGAAACAAAGAATCGAGTATGTAACAAATCAGAGTAAGTAAGAAGGGAAGATTGAACACCGGATGTTAATATGATCTTGTTTCAACTTTATTACGCTTTCATGTGTTTACAGAGTACAAAGACAAGTTCTGTAAAACTCTCTCTTATCTAACTCAAGTAAATGTCCCTACTTATAGGAAACAGAAAGCGTACAAAAAAAATACTAAGGCATTAACACTAAGCTTCGAATAAAAGCACCTTAGTAAAATATATAACAAAACATATGAAGGGGGATATAATAGACTTCGACTAATTACAACACACATTGAATCTTACAATCTCCCCCTTTGTAATAATAGTCGAATCCCCTAATTTGTGAGAAGCTGAATGGAATACAACATCACCCTTTGTATCTCGGTGTACCAGGATATGATCTTCTTAAGTTCTTTCTTATCACCTTCATTGTTCTTCTTGCAATGATTGATACGAATAATTAAGTTCATATATTGAGATGTCAAATACCTATCCACTTCGCTTTCTTGGAACAAAAACGTTTTGCTTTTCTAGCTTTGTCTTTTCCTGCGAAGACCATCCCAAAGGCTTCAAATAAATCTCTTCGTCTGCATACTTCTTCAGCTCATTTTGTGTCTTCATAGGTTCCATTGGAGCTTTTATTTCCATACCGTTAGCAGTTGCTAATTCAACATCAGTTAGTGCCAAGCAGTCATAATAATTTTCAATGAAAATCTTGATGTTAGCAACCCCAAGCTTGAATTCATCAGGTTCAGTACTTTGAAGATACGAAAATGATTTATCCTTCAGAATCAATGCAACTTGTATAAGATCATACAAGTTCATTAATGGAAAATCTGCAATGGTAAAATCACAATTATTTCCATTTTCCTTGGCCACAACATACTTAACATTTTGGACTGTGTTTTCAAATAACACATCCTTCTTTATACTGATCACCATTTTAATTTTCACCAATGACCAGACTTCCTCGGTAGATTTGGTAAGAACAGCATGAAATCAAATCTTCATGTCTGTACCTTCATTTTTGTCTTTGAAAGTTCCTTCTGCTTTGAATTGAGGCATGATAAACATCATCTCATTCACCAGAAAGTCTAGCTGGCCTGCATCAGTATCGTTACACTGTAGCTCTGCTTTGGTTTCTTTTCGAATGAATACATATCACTGAATGCAACCTTGGCTTCGATTCTTTCGTAATTGTAATGTTTTGATGGATCACCTTTATTCAAACCTGGTGGATCACTTGCTCGTTGAGTCATAATGCTTTGGACTCACCTCAACTTTTCTATTTCTGCTTCAACCTCAGCCTTCTTTTCCTCCTTTTATTTTTCCACAACAATGGTTTTTCCTTTGTATTTCGAAGCGTCATCTGTTACAATGGGCTTCTGATTGCTCCCACTAGCAGCTTCGCCAATAACAACTCCTTTTGTGACAGGCCTTGAAATTGGCATCGTAGTGACCACTATCGAAGTAGCTGGCCCAACAGAAGATAATATTGGTTTTGTTGTTGGGATCTTCGAAGCAAACACCTTTCCCACAACTTTTGCATTTGCATGAAAAGCTTCACCAGTAGCCTTCACATCTCCAACCTTTCTTTCTCCCCCATTGCACCCCTGTGATAACAGGTAGGGCATCTGTGGTTGGTAGAAAGTTTGAAATCCTGGAAAGAGGGGCCAGTTGCTTGTGTAGAATGGCTTCGAATTGAGTGAATTTTTGAGACAAAAATTCAAGAGTGATTAAAGAAGATGAAACTGGCTTAATAGATAAATCTTTGAGCTCCTTCAACATATTGATGTTTTCCAGGAAATTTTTGTTGTCCATTGTAGAATGTTGAGTAAGTTGAAGACTCATACTTTCGTATAATTTGACAAATCTTGTAATAGCATCACAAATAATATCAATCTTCTGATTGAGAGATACATAATCCTATTTAACTGAAACAATCTCTCTTTGCATATCTTCGCGAAGCTCACAAATTTGCAAATTGACATTTTCTCGGACTTTCTTTACATCTTGAACAAACAAAATATATCTCTCCTTCGCCTGTTGTTGCAAATTCTTTGCTTCTCCCCAAAATGTCAAACTTTGAGAATTCACCCTTAGCTCATTGTTTTGATGATGATGATTAATATTATCCAGAATTTGTGATTCTGAATCTCTAACCATCCCAGAAACTTTACTCACCACCTTTGTTCAAGCATTTTTAGCATCATATCAACTTCTAAACTTGAAACATATGAACCACCCCCAAATCAGCTTGCGATTAAAGTATGGAATTCAACTTCGTATTCAAAATTTTAAACCGTTTCATTGTCATCAACATAAAATCTGGAAAGTCTTCTTCTGTGTCATCAAACTCCAAGTGTTCAAAGGTTCCTCCAAAACCCTCATTATCAGTATCAGTTTCCATGAAAATTGACTCTTTAGCAGGAGAATTGGTTTTGGGTGGATCAGTTGATTGAGAAGAGAAAATGGAAGTAATAGGTTGATTGAGAATGTTTTCAAATGTGGGTGAGTCTTTAGTTGAAGTGGTTGGTGTGATTTTTGGAGGTAATGAAACAACAGTAACAGGATTACCTTAAGCTTCTATCTTCGCATCTCCTTCACCCATGGTGACATGTACATCCGTATGAGATATGTTTGCAATGGTGTCTGAAGTTCGTGCATCCTGATGATATGACTTGGTAGACGAATCTTCGGGCGGTATAACCATTGTTTACTCTGGAATTAAACTTTCCTTGTGAAGATTGGCTTCGGATGTTTCAGGAATTCGTTCATCTTCATCTTCTATAGATTCGATTGTTATAATGAGCTTGCATGTATTCTTCTTCTCCCATTCAGAAATCTGTTTGTCCATGTATTTAGCCAATCATTTCTTGGATGATGGAGAAACTGGAGTTGGTACATCATGAAAAACTACCCCCTGATGAGTAAGATGAGGCTTTCGTACCACATTAAGAGTTGGAGTCCTTCGTTTATGCTTAGACTTCATCTTTATTCTGCGAAACACAACAGTCTTCGAAGGAATAACCACTTTCTCCGGAGTTTTGTCAATAACATGCTCAATCGGAATACTTTCTTCAATGGAAACTTTTGTTACCACTATCACCTGAACTTCATTAGTCTTCTTCTTCGGAGATTTGTTTGTTTTGGTTTCAATAACAACATTTTCAGAAGAACCGGACTCATTCTTCTTCGAACGTTTGGATTTCTTATCCTCCTTTAGCAACAAGATCCCAGTTTGAACATTAGGATCAATATTTTTCAAGTATGCCACCAAAACTGCATTCGAAGGATCAACATGTCACAACATGGCATCTGGAATACGAGCAACAAATGGAAACACTGTTACATCATCTGTCATGTTCTTCGGATAATTGTAAGTATAAAATTCAGCCTTCTCTTCATCAGCATTCACTAAAATTCCTTCTTTCTCAAAAAAAACTGTAAAATTAAGCTCCAATACCTAGCACACAAAATGCCATGAACAACATTCATGTTTTCCATACTCTTTTGAAATTCCTTACAAAGTTTTGTGGAATACTCCACCGGAATATCATAGTATAGCCCTGTTACCATGACGTATACTTCCATCTGCCCCTTGTCAAGACCAACTGTCCGACCTGTCAAATACCTCAAAAAGATTCCAAAAAGAAAGTTCCAGATACTAGGAAGACCTGATTTCTTGAAATCACTGATCTTGGTTAGTTGTGGTTGGTGTCCCATCTCGTTGAACATATGGACGATTTGGGGAAATTGCAGATCAATTTAGGGTGGAGAATTGGGGATTTCCAGTATTTGAAAAAAGAGTTTCTTGGTGATTCTAACCTTTTTGTCATTCACAAGATTGAAAGTGATGACATCCAGAGCTTTTTTGTACGTAGGAGTGGATCATGCTTGAGATAACCAGTATCTTGAATCTTCATAATCTTCATAATCAGCAAGGAAGTGACATCATCAGTGTTTTGAGAAGGAACATTGACATTAGCATAAGTCGCCATTGTTAGGGTTTGAAAGCTTTGAATATCAGAGAGAATTTGAGAATTTTTGTTTTTAATCGTGTAAACTAATAATTGACCCTTGAATACCCTTTTATATGTAACTCTGATGTTTGAATTTAAAGCGGGATGTGCATTAAATGAGTCCTACGTGGCACCTTGAAAGTCGCTCCACTAGGCTAACAAAGTAGTCATGCGTGAAAAAGTAAATGTCACATCACCTTGGAACCCGGATAAGATACCATACGTCACCGGAAAAACACGTTGTATTGATTGCCCCAATAGAATAGGAACTGTCATCATTCTTCAAATGGAAGTTAGGATCTTTCACTTTTGGGTTTGAAAGTGAAGTCATATGCCAGATGTTTGAAATCATCATCCTGAGTTAGTATTACTCAGAACCTTAAGGATTTTGTGAGTGCAGTGTTGAAAAAATAGATGAGAAGTAATGATAAGAAAAATTTGGAAGTCAGTGATGTCGATCAATTTTTCGACATAAAAGTAGTAAAAACCCCGGGCAAAGGTTACTTCATTAATCATCAAGAAAGATGATCAACCGCTTGTGTATGTTCCCGTGAAATACAATCGAATACTTGTAGAGAAGTATCAAATGGATTCTTTTATTAGGCTTCTTGGGTATCTATAAGAATTTCATTACATATCAACCTAATCATAAGGTGAGAAATTGTAACAGAAATTACTTGTTTGACCAATGTAGTCAGTGACAAGTTTGCTTTGAAAAATTTTAAGTGGCTTTGGATTTCGAATGAAACTCACATGAAAATCATATTCATGAAAAAATTTGTGCTGGATCTTGTTGGGTAAAAAACATCGTAGGTTTCGAATATTTGATCAATACCACTCATAGGAAATGAATATGATATGGAGTTTCGAATGTAAGGTACAGAAACAAACGTTTTGTTAAATCTGGAACAAAGTTCCCCATCAATTCCTTACATGTTTTAGAGAATTGGGTTTCAATTTCATCATGGTCTCATGATGTCAGATCGTAAACACAGACTTTTGATTTGTCTAAGTCTCGATTGGTTTGATCAGATACCTCTTGGACATATGTCTTCGTGTATAATTGTGTAAGAACATTCAGATGAAAAAGATTGGTGTAAGATACGAAATGTACCTCTGTTATATTAGGACAAAACAGTAAACTCTTAACTCATGTGAGAAGAGTCAGGTAGCTCAGGTGATTAATATGAATACAAGCCTGATTGGGAAGAAATTTTCATATGAAAATTTTCATTAAGGATTTCGTACACACATATTGAGTCAATGGAGGCTTCGATCAATATGCTTCAGCATGCTTCTAGGGACAGCTTAACTAGTTCAAAGTATTCGAAAATTTACCCGACCCCAGAACTGTAAGCATTCTCCAAGGTAAATCATCATGAATATCTGCAACAAAATACTAAAAAGTAATCAGAAAAATATTTTGTTTTTTTTGTTTTTTTTTTTTCCGAAAAATTAAAAATCCAAAAAGATTTTCTTCTTTTTAATTTCTAAAAAAATAAAATAAATAAATAATTTTTTTTTTTTGATATTTCAATCCATTTTCTTTTTGGTTTTTGTCGTTGAAAAACATACGAATTCTTTGTTAGGTTGTTTTCAACTGTGCTTTGATTTGCAAAGAAACCTTCGTCTGATGTTTTCTTGTTATCTTCCTCAACTAACTTTTTAAATTCAGGTTTGACATTTTCAACATTCCCAGTAGTAACGCACACTTGATTTGGGAAAATAATATCATTCAAGCACTTGGAATTCAGATAAACCACTGTATTCGTTTCCAAAAAGTGAGCACCTTGTTAATTCATCACTTTTTCAAACTCTTGTGTATCACCATACACTTGATCAACCACAACTCGAGGAATTTTGTCATCTTTTGAGGATTTCTTTTTCTTTGAAAATTTCTCTTCATTTCATCATCACTATCATCAGTTTGACTATCTCTGATGTCCACAAAGTCGAAATCACAAACTTTCAAACATGAGGGTTTGTTAGTTTCAATCATAACCATCAATCCCTTAACTTTTTCTTTCCTTTTAGATGTTGATGCAACATTAACAATAGACAACTGAGAACAATCAACATCCTCTAGATCACTAATTTTACTAATATTATCAGATTATCTTCAATATCAGCAAAATTAGATTGAAAATCATTTCAAAATTTAAATTGTTCAGATTTGGTCAAAGTATCATTCACAATATTAACTAAATCATTTGTATCTAGACATTGATCAATATTGACAAGTCCATATTTATATCTATCATCAGGAACATTGTCAAATTCAGCAATTTTCTTTTCACAATCAAACGAAACGCTATCAACCTTCTCTCTGTCAAAGGTAAGAAATGGTAACAACTTTCGATGTTGTTCTTTGCTAATGTCACACGAATGACGCAAATCAGTTAATTTTCCATACAATCTCTTAGCTGAATTACAATATATATTTCTTTGTGCTAACAAGAGTTTAACTTCACTTGACAGAGCATCCCTATCACACATAATGTTTGTTATTTGTAACTCTAAACTCTCAACTTTACTTATTTTCGAATCTAAACGCTTTTTGGTCTTTAATATCTCCATAGACAGTTTCTTAGCCTCATTGCTAGCAGACACAACAATTGTATCGAAATAAGTAACAATCTCATCAAAAGATATTAATTCAGAGTTATAAGCATTTACTGGAATATTAAAAGATTCAAGGATAGAACATACCTTTTTCGTCATTGGAGATTTGTTAGTTGCCATTGATATGAAGCACCTTCCTCTCACTTCGAAGTCTTCCTCATCCGAATGCTCTTCCATTTTTGCATATAATGCACCATGAGTTGGATTCCTCATCTCCTCATCATCTGATCCAGATAACCGGATTTGATACGTTCCATCTTCATCATTATCTCCTGTTGTAATCAATGACAAATTCTTTGCCTTCGCACGAACTTCCTCAAGCTTCTCAGCATAATAAGCTTCATCCTTAACTTTATTCTTCCTTTTATCCTTCTTTCTCAGCATGTAGTCATTTGCAAGGTGATTGGCTCCATTGCAATAGTGACAGTCTACTCCAGAATCACCTTTTAGCTTCTTCTCAATCTTTCCCTCAGACACCTTCGTATCTTTCTTCTCAACCTTCTTCTTCTCCTCATCAACAAATTTACTCACAACACTTCCTTTTACCTCAGTTTGCTTACCCTTCGAATTAAATGGCTTTTTGAAAAATTTATTGACCCGACTGTTCGAGTAAAACCCTATTTCCTCATCATCTAAATTTAATAAGAATGCTTATTCCTCCTCTAAATCACCTTTTTCGAATGTTTTTTTATCAGACACCTTCAAAACTAAAGCTAACGGAACTCCAATACTTAGTTTCGATTTTTCATCCATTTCATTTACTTTAGTTTCCTGTGTCTTCAACTAATTATACAAATCATTGAGAGTTGATGTATCAAAACTTTGTTGATTTTTAACCATCACACTCACACTTCTCTGTTCTGTTCAAAGACCCATTACAAAAATGAGATTGAATTCCATTGAAGTCCTAGTAATTCCATTGCAATGACAACGATAGATTAACTCGTTTAGACGATTATAGTATGCTTCATTTGTTTCACCTTCTTTTTCTCTGAAGTCTTTTAGCTCAACCAAGCACCGCATGATTGAATTAATATATGTCTTCTCGCTTCCTTGAAACTTTTTGTTCAAATTGTTCTAGATCTCTTTAGCAGTTGTACAACTCCTTACGCAATTGTACACAACTGGAGGTAAAGCTCCTCGTAATTCTCTCATACACCTCTTTTCCAATTTCTTCAGACGATCAGATTGATTTCAACACCAGGACTTGCAGTAAATTCTCCAATTGGTTGAATATTTACCGGAGGATTAACATTTTGAGAGATACACGACCACAATTCTTCATCTAGACCATTCAGATAATCCTGCATATGATCAGCCCACTGATCATAGTATTCAGGAATTAGCATTGGAATTTTGGACGATGATCCTAATAAATGAGAAAATAAAGTCATCGAATTGAGATTGTAGCTCGCCATTGATGTACGGATGAATATTTTTAAAAAGAATTGAGAATTAGAAAACAAGCTAACTGAATTGCTCAGAAATGAAAAGAAGAACACTCGATTCACCAGTCTTGATGCAGAATCGAATCACAACCCCAAATCAAAGAGGATTTTTCACTTTCAAAAAGTGTAGAAACTTTTAAATCACAAAATCGATTCAAAACATTTTGAAACAAGTGAAAATCAGATCAAGGAATATGATTCCTGATCTGATACCAATTGTGGTGGTGTTGATTATGATGGCATGTACGGAATATGAAAGATCTAGTGAATCATCATGTAAAATCAAGAACACATGGAGTAAATAAATCTTTGTAAGCTCATATAGATCTAGAAAGAATATACAAATTGGTTTGTACAAATTTTCTCTCTCTAGTCTAACACACCAAATAGTTCCTTACATAAAATGAGTGCCACTCATTTCCTTATAAAGGAAAGGCAACTCATTACACATACAAGTGGGTAAAGCCTCATCCAAGCGTGACTTTGC